CCCTTACAGGATGAATGTTCTAAAGTTGGATCTGCAAGCAAATTTTCACTAAGATCAAGATAAAGGAGTGAGGAAAAACGTTTTGAAATGCTGCAAGGCACCAAGAACACATTGGTATTTATAACTGTGGTTTTGGTAATGTTACCTAGAAGATTTTCCACACCACTAAGATCTGAAAACAAATAAAATTGTTCTATACCTAATCTCTGTACTGTGATTACTTCAATGGTGCTTTCTCCGTTTACTTCAATTTGCCCATGCCATTTTCCAGTTCCCCGTAGTACAGAATCATCCACTTCCAGCTCCAACAATTGTTTAGCATGCCTCAAGATGTTTAACACTCTGATAACACTTGCATCTGTAAACAAAACATTTTTGAACACAAGTTTCTCCATGACAGAACGACTCATTGGCTCCAGTAATGAAGATTCATTAGCTGTATTGAAGGCTATATGTCTCAGTTCTAAACATATTACAGAATTTATAAGATCCTCTAACATCACTGATAACACCTGAACATCATTTATGTTTATGATGATATGATTTATGCTGTTAACTGTTGTCAAACTCCCTGACTCGTATTGCCTGAGCCTTTGACCATCAATCTCAAGTTGCTCAAGAACTGTAATTCCATCAAAGACTTGCTTCCGTATAGCAGAAAAGGAATGGTTATTCCCCAGGTGCAGATATCTCAAATTTTTGAGATTAGAAAACAAGGGATTCTCCCCCAGTGTTGTATATAAATTACCCTGTATGTTTAGTTGCTGTAAGGAAAAAAGATGTCTAAACCAAATGGGTGACAAGTGAGTCAACTTATTATTTGATAAATCCAAATGTTCCAATTTTCCAAGGAAAATAAATGAATCCTTATCTATTGTCCTAATTTGATTGGATTGCAGCAGCAGCAGTCTCAGATTCACACCCAGCTTCAGATCAGTTTCTCTGACATGGTCTATGCTGTTGTAGGACAGATTTAGCCCCGTGACATCAGTTGTTAGCCCTGAAGGAATGGTGCTCAAATCCATTGAAGAACAGTCACAGAAATGAGTGGCATCACATGAGGGACACACCTGCGTCATGGCTTTTTCTTCAGAGCAATTTGCACTTATGGCCATGTAGAAGATCCATACTCGCCAGATCTGCTTAGTGTTTGGTTTTCTTTGGTTCAACATCTTAAAAGAGAGAGCGAGAAAGAGAAATTAATATAAGGGAATTGAAATCCAGTGTAAGTTTAGTTATGAAAGAATTCACATTCTGATTTTTTTCTTGTAGTGATTTCCTGTTGGATTTTTTTCTCCCATTCTGGCTGCTTTATTTTGGAAGTAGGAGAAGTCTTTGAAGTGAATTCATACTATAAATTAAATATTCATAAAATTCACAGACCTGGTCCAATTTTTTAAACAGACATACCTCTGGATGTTTGAAAATTCTGGTTTAAGTCAGGGAGGGATTTTAATAACCTTTAACTTGGTTAGAAGTTTTAACATCATCAAACAATGCTAATGGTATATTCCCAGAATTCTGAGAACCTCCCACCCCTTCATTAACTATAAGGTGCAATTACAAAAGAAAAAGTGCTTATATGTATAACATAAAACTATATATATGCTTGTCTCCCCAATGTCTGCCTCTATTTTTGTACAACGCATAACACAATGGGATCCTGATGTTGCTCAGAATGTCTAGTGTAACAGTATAAACAATAAAGGAAAGGATGAGACACATCTGTCACTCCCTGTAAATTCTGCAAAAGGCAATTTAGTTTCTTTTTTGAAGTTAGAGTCTGATATCCAAACAAAAGTTCTTTCTGCATGTACACAATATAGGTACAAGTAATACATTACAATGCTATACATTACATTCCCCCTGCCAGAACAGCACTGTTTTTAATTCACACAGGATCTGATCCTGCTACCATTGAAGTCATTTGCCCTTGACTTCAATGGAAGTCAGAACAGGCCCACAGTTATTAAAGTTCACAAAAATATCTTCTAGGAATCCTGGGTAGCCAGAGATGAAGTACTTATCTTTCTTACTGAGGCTTACAGCTTCGGTGCCAGTGTTTTGTATTGGTCTCATGCATTAGGATCCATGGAGTCTTCTCATCTGCAACATGGCAACAGAAGCTGGAAATCTTTTGGCTGATAAACAATGGAAGGACGCAGGTCTGATGCTATGCCAGCTCTCAGGCTGGCAAACACTGATCTATCCTGCTTAGTCAAAGCTTCACGCTAACAAATTTCCAAATGTTCCTTAACTCTTTGTCCCATAAACTTCAAGTAACCACTGCACTCACTCTACAAATGCATTGCTTTTGGAATGAGTAGGATTGTTCAATATTCCCACTGCACAGCTACTCTGCACTATACCATCCCTTATAGTCAAACTTCTGCCACATTTATTTTTGTGCTAGAAAACGGATACAGAAGTTACTGTTTATTCTTGAAGTATCTTCTCTGTATGCTGCAATTCAGCAGAAGGTCTCTTCTTTTGTTTGGTCAGCTCTCTTTGGTGCAACCACTGACGCAATGCTTTTGTACAAATTTTTCTTTCACAATCAGTGACTGCAGCACTGACAGGAATAATAGTTTCAGTACTTTTCTATTCCCATTCCTTCAATTTAAATCTATACTTATTTTTGGATTAGGAGTTGAGTAATTTTTGTCTTAGTTTACTCTATTGAGAATGGAGCATCTCAGCTTACATAAGGTATTTTTTTTATACAGGTCCCTCTGAGTTGAAAGTGTTCTGTTCTATAAACCACTGTTTATATATAGACTATTTTACTGGGTCAAGTTGTTTAGTTGGCGGGGGGAAAGGAAGAGTTTTTCATTTCCCAAGACACTGTATTCAAAGACATTATCTGAAGTGGACTTTTATTATCAACAAAGATTAAGTTAATAGGCAACAGTTCTGAAAATTGGATCAAGATCCTGTATCCAAGACAGAGAATTTTAATGAAAAAGAATTTCAAGTTCTCACTGAAAAGGTGCATCTAATAAAAAGTCAGCATGGAATTTGTACTAGGAAAATGAAATTGTAAATTTTGCATTCATGCCACTTCTAAAGGAGAGGATGGACTAAAACTGTTTGTGCCTCACCAAACTTCCTGACCAAAAAGATGTTACACAGCTGCATAAGTGAAAAAGGTACAACTTGTTGTTGTTGTTTTTTAAACCAGACCTAAAAGAGGAATCTTTTGGATTCTAAGCACCAAACTTTTAAAATATGCTTTGCATTTTTCTGTACACAACTTTGCATGTACACTTTTCCAGGTCAACCATTTATGAGTATATGTGATAAAATTTACATATTTGGGGGGGGAAAAAAAGTTTCATGCACTAAAATTCCTCCATGTGCATGTGGCAGAATGTGTGTGCAAATATTTGTGCTCCCAAGGTTGCGCAAACAGAAGAAGCCTGGCTGAGCCTCTTCATGCAGTTTGATCCTAATATGTTGAAATTAATAATTGATAACATGGCAGCTAGACATTTTCCAAAAAATGATTTAAAAGTATTAGACCTGCTTAAATTCCCAGCTGATCACATTTTGTTCATACTTAAAGCATTTTTGCTGTGTGAAACTGATTATATAGGGGAAACAGGGAAGCTGGTTTTTCATGAAGTTCTGTCATATGCATACAGCAACAAGCTAGAAAAAAAAAAGATTGAGATTTTCCCCTCTAATTCCTTTCAATTGTTGCAATGTTAGATACAATATTTTTAGACTGACAATGAAAAACAATGCAGGATTACTAGGATTTTTTTTTAAACACACCCTTTAATAGCTTTTTTGTAATCAAGAGGAAAACTTATCAAAGCTAGAATTAAGTTTGTAAAGCATTTTGAAAATGAAAAAGTATGAGATAAGCATTGTATTTACTACTTAATACTTTTGCTGTTTTGTTTTTCAGATTATCCACCACTCTTTTGATAAATACATTTGTGTATCATCTGGAATTGGCGAGATCTGTATTGGGGCATTTAATGAAATATTGACTTTCTCCTGACATCCAGGACCAGCCCACTATCTAATGACACATCTGTGTTACATATAGCAGTCAGTGTCCCTCAATAAGGAGGGCCAAAATAAGTTACATCAGCGCTTCTGACTTCTTCTCCAACCCACCTACATTATCTCAATCTTGTCTGGATTAAGTTGCAGCCAACTAGCCTTCATCCAAACGCCACATTCATATAAACAACGAATTATTGGTTCCATTGTTCCGGCTGAGTCAGAGGTCATGGAGATGTACAGCAGGATGTCATCAACATACTGAATGCCTGGCAGCCCATGTTTCCTCATCAACACACTCTTCAGTCTCATATACAAGTTGAGCAGAAAGGTTGCTAGGATAGACACTATGGGATCAAGACAGTACCCTTGGGGCATAAGAACAATGGTCCACAATTGTCTTTTGGATTCTCTCTAAAAGATCAGAATGGAGTCACTCAAAAACAGCTCCATTCACCCTTACTAAGGTCCACAAGTGAGGCAATTCAATTCAAGAAACTGCTGACAGATCTAGAGAATCAGCACAAACACTTTATTTTCATCCATCAGTAGGTAGAAATCATGAGCTAACACAAGCAGCAGAGTTTCTATTTCATTCCTATAGCCCAATCAACAGAGGTCAAAGAAATCTTGGGGACTCAGACAAAAGCCACAATTGCCCTGCCGCAACCTCCTTGGTAACTTTTCCTAAAGACAGAGATTGAATCCTGGTCAATTGGTTAGACAGACAGGGGACGTAGACTGGGTGACAACCACGTGGGATGGCTCTGCAGGCTGCTTTGTAGATAGCACTACAGAAGCGAAGGTAGGTCTCATTTACTGAAATATGCCGGGCTGGTATTGTCATCACACTCTTCTTTATTTAAATGAAAGCTGAGAGCCTGGCATCATCACAGGCCTCCAGGAGCTGGGCCCTAAGCATATGCCATTTGGGCCAACGCCTTCACCCTGCCTGCATGGCTGTGGGTATTAAGTATTAACTACTAAAAGAGGAACAATTGTAACAAAAATAATTAATTTTCAATTTGTTTTTGTTCCACAGTCCCCACCCTGATTCAGAACTCATTTGTCACCAGCTGAACATTCCACAGTCTCTGATAAGCAGAGCTGAATTTTTAAATGCAGAGGAACAGATTCCACAATTTCTCTTCTTGGGGTTCCTGGATTGGCCCCTTCTCTCAGAGGAGAGCACAAAGCCACGTGAGCAGCAGCAGCAAACTCAGCAGTCAGCTATTCTCGCTTTCTGTGCCGGGAACCAGGAAAACTTTTTCCAGCCACTTACTGAAACATTCCGTTTGAAAGAACAGGCAGCTCAACAGCTGCCTTTACACAGGAGAGAACGCATAGCTGTTTTGCATGCTACAGTTCCACATTTTCTCAGGAGAGTTCCCCCTTTGACAGCCTCTGGGAAAAATCACCTAATTCTGAAGTGATTGTCTCTCAGGGGGATTCAAAACTTTCAATTTGAAGTCCCATGGAAAAGTTAATTGATAAAAAGCAAATACTCCCAGGCTCCAGTCAAAAATAAGTTAAACTCAGTTTTCTTCCTATTGTATATTCTAACAGGCAGGATGGAATTGGTTTGTTTGTGACATAAATGCTAGGAATTGTGATTTGCTAAAGCAGCTATATAACAGTTCCCAATAATCAAATACGATAACAGGTACCCCTTTGGTACCCCTTTTCAAATACAGTATGGCACAAAACTCTATCGCAGAATGCCAAATACATACAAATGACTATCAACTTAAAATTAAATCACACCAGGAAATTGGAACAACCTACTTTTAGCATTCCAGATTGCTCCACAGGCTCTCACATCATTTCACTCCAATCAGCTACACTGAATGAGTATCTCAGCACCTGACAAACATTGGATGTACAGCATAAGCAAAGGCACTCCCATTTTTATAGGAAAGTGTAGAAAGCAACCATTCCTAGCCCACTGCAAGGAATAATGCAAAATACCAAACATCTTGCCCCCTTTCTATAGACAAAATGCACAATTGTTATGGTCAAATCACCATCACTTCCTTTGAACTGAGATCCAGGCTTTCTTCTTACCTGTGGGATCTATTTCTATAACCTGCCTTCAGTGAGTATGGTCCCATTGAAATAAGTGAGCGATATCTGGGCAAAATAACTGAGACAGTAGTAACTACCAAGCTTCAACAACATGGGACATTAGCCAACATACTGGATGCCTCACAATCAGGATTCAGAGCAGGGCATAGCACAGAGATTGTTCTAGTGACACCAAAAGGTGAGCTCCTTATGTTGATGGACACAGGTCAGATCTTTTGCCACAGGCACTATGTAAACCAGGATACCCAGGAGGACAAAGGAAGTGTCCAAGAGTCATGTGTTAATAATATTGCCACCCATCACTGTCATATTTGAGTGCTTTCCCTGTAAAATCAATATCAACAGCAAAGTCCTTAGTGGATTTCATGGAGTCATTGGCACAGCTTACTTTATGGGGTGAAAACTCTGTGTGGGGTAGGGTTGTTGTTGTTTGGAGAGGGAATTGCGAGGGGTTGGGGATGTAACGGGTGTTTGAGAAAGTGTTTCCATCATAAGTTACACACACAATTCAAAGAGAAGGTTTTGTACCATTTCCTAAAGATGGTCAGTCTCTGGATTCACCTGATCTCCTCCAAAAGGCAGGCAGAAGCATTGTGTGCCCGCTGGAGCCTGTGCATTGTCTTCACATTCAGCTTCAGAAACAATGAGTTGCAGTAATCCAGCACGGAGGCGACAAACGCATGGATCACTGTGTCCACGGCCTTGTCCAGGAGGAAGAGATGAAGTTTCCTAGAGAGTTAGAGGTGAAAGAAGGTGTTTTTGCAAATTGATGCTACCAAGTCATCCACGCTTAGCGAAGAGTCAAACAGGACCCCAGGGCTTCACACCGCATGGATGAATGGGGGCTGTAAGAAGGTGGTGATGATGTCTTGGCCAGGTCTTTGAAGCACTTCTCCTTTGTGACCAGCATCAGGGTTCATCTTGAGCCAGCTGCTATTCATCCAAGAGCTAATTTCCTGTGGGAATTCTGACATGTTAGCAGTAGCAGTGGTTGCATCAGTTAAGAATGAGATATATAGTTGAACATCATCAGCATAGTGTTGGCAGCCAAACCCATGGCATGTTACCTCTACCAGTGATCTCACATAGATATTGAAGGGGAGGGGATAGTATGGATCTCTGTGGGACCCGGTAAGTGAGGGCTTTCCGAGTGGAGGAGCAGTTACCCATCCCCACTCTCTAATTTGTGCTGAAGGGGAATGACTGGAGCCACTATAGTGCTAGGCCTTCTACTCCTGCTATGCTGTGTAGGTACCTTGTGCTCTACTGTGTCAAAGTCTGCAGATGGGTTCTAGCAGTATAAGCATGGAGATCTATCCAGGAGGGCTATCAAAATTAAGTGGGCCTGTAGCAATGGGACTCACCCCTGCAGCACCTCCTGCTGGTCTCTGTCAGGAATTAGCTCTCCAGCCATCGGAGCGCCCTCTGCAGGCCGGTGATCCGCCTTACCGCTGGCCCCCCTGTCCCTTCCAGGACCCCAGTGCCCCTTTCTCTGGGGGTGCTGCCCCTCTGGCAGTAACCCCCAATCTCAGGGTCTCCCCTCCCAAGGGAACCCCCACCCCTTATTCCCACCTCGCCTCAGTCTTGGCTACTGCCAGTCACCACTTAGCCCCCATTCACTGGGGCAGACTGCAGTGTATCAGCCACTCATCACAGGCAAGGGGAGGTCTGGACCTGCTGCCTCTGCCTTGCATGCCCATGGGCTGCCTCCTGCAACCCAAGTGCCCCGTTGGCCTTACCCTAGGCCTGCAGCCTGGGGCTTTCCAAGGCCAGAGCTCCCCGGCTCCCTTGGCCTTTCCCCAGCCCTGCTCCACTCTAGGCACTTGGTTAAGCTACCTGCAGCCAGGCCCTTCTCTCTCTGCCTTCAGAGAGAGACTATCTGCTTGAGCTCCTGGCTCAAGCCTTTATAAGGCCAGCTGGGCCCTGATTCGGGCATGGCCTCAGCTGAGCCTACTTCCCACTCAGCCTGGGCGGTTCTCCCAGCTCTCCAGCCCTCACCCAGGGCTGGTTTTAACCCTGTCAGGGCTGGAGCGGGTAGCCACCCCGCTACAGGGCCATTGTAAGACAAAAGTTTTGTTGATTGCCCCATCCACCCATGGAGAAGTACATGCAGAAGGCCTTGTCCCATTGGATTGAATGCTAGAAGAGGGAAAGAAGAACAGTTGACATGAGAATCCCCCCCCCCCCCCAATTTAGACACTTACAAGGGCTGGAGCTAAGAAACAAAAAAGCAGAAATTCCCAGGGTCAACCTATGTTAGCCTTGAAAAGACATTCAGTGCTGTCTGATTACTACATCTCTGTCATCTTTTTGGAATCATAGAATGAACTCATTTGTGAACATATGTTGTTTGCTTTAACCTGTAAATAACCCTCTCATTTCTTAATTAGTTTACTATAGGATTGGCTACCAGCGTTGTCTTTGGTGTGAGATCTAAGGTACAAATTAGTCTCAGGTAAGTGATTGGTCTCATGGGAGTGGGAGCAACCTGAATATTTTATGATTTTTGCTGTAAGTGACCATTTATCACTAATTCCAGTTTGCCTGGGTGGCAAAACAAACTAGAGAGCCCAAGAGGACTGTCTGTGACTCCACGGTAAGATTGTTACAGTGAGCCAAGTGTTCACATTTGTTACTGGGTTGGTGAGATCTAATTATAGAACATACTAGCAGTTTTGGGTATCTGCCCTACTTTTGATGGTCTGCCATGACCCACTCCAGACAGTGTGACAACCGTTTTCAAGATGTATTTGTTCAGAGAGGTCTGTGTGTATAGTTTATTTTTTCTCTAAGTAGAAACAAAGAATAAATCTCTTAATTAATAAAAGCAGATTTTTAATGCCTGTTTAAAAAATAAAATGTCTTTGGCCAACTTTCCCCATAGTATTCAGGTCCTCTTTCACCTCAAATCTCCTATTCATTTATGTTAAGTATGAAAATCATTGTATCAGTCCTGCTAAGTTTCTCCTCCAGCCCGTTTATTTTTCTTGCTCTTCTTTGACCTTCCTTCATTTTATCAATATCTTCCTTGTAATGAGGTGTTTGGGTCTGGACACAATATGCCAAGTGTAGGTACATTACAACCACATAGTGATGGACAGCTGTGTCCTTGTTCTGTAATGCAATGCCTCTGCATGTGTCTTTACTACTATAGCTGCAAAAAACTAGCTCAGGAGATCAACCCCTTGCAAAAAAGTACTTTCTGCTGCAGTTAAACACATACAGCTACGCATGCTTCATGCTATGGCATTTGAGCTATTAGCACAAAATAAAGTTACAAAGACAAGGAATATTTCCGCAACAGTGCAGACATATTCAAAATGATCTGGAGATGTTTGTACCAAGTGCAGTGAATCTAAAAGTTCACAATACTTTCTTACAGCTTTCTATTTAATTTACACTATTCGCTTGTTGTGAATTATTTTTGCTCCTGGAAGCTTTCATGTTTCCAAGTTTTATTTCATTCTGTTCTTTTTTGTCAGGTTATTTTTGTGTGTGCGGGGGAATAGGAGTGCGCCTGCGTGGGAAGTGAAAGGGAGACTAGTCAATTTTACTTCCAGAAACTCCACTGGGATTTAAATGGAAAATATTGAGACAAATTTAAAGTAATAATTCTTATTTGCATATTCCTACTGACTCTATGTCCCGGTTTGCACTATTTCTCTGTCCTTGGTGTGCAAACCACCTCTCAGTTTAGCATAATCTGCAAAAGTCTTTGACATGTTGTTTTCATCCTTTTGCAAATCATTAATGAAGATGTTATGTAAAATGGGGCTAATCCTGGGTCTGGAGGAGGAGCGGAGTTTGTTGGTCTCCCTGTATTTAAGGAATCTAAACTTTCATTAAAATTTTTTAAAAAGTAGGGCTGTCAAGCGATTAAAAACATGAATCGCGCAATTAATTGCACTGTTAAACAATAATAGAATACCATTTATTTAAATATTTTTGGATGTTTTCTACATTTTCAAATATATTGATTTTAATTACAACACAAAATACAAAGTGTACAGTGCTCACTTTATTTTTGACTACAAGTATTTGCACTGTAAAGAAAACAAAAGAAATAGTATTTTTCTGTTCACCTAATACAAATACTGTATTGCAATCTCTTTATCATGAAAGTTGAACTTGCAAATGTAGAATTATGTACAAAAAAACTGCATTCAAAAATAAAACAATGTAAAATTTTAGAGTCTGCAAGTCCACTCAGTCCTACTTCTTGTTCAGCCAATTGCTCACACAAACAAGTTTGTTTACATTTGCAAGAGATAATGCTGCCTGTTTCTTGTTTACGTCACCTGAAAGTGAGAACAAGCGTTCTCGTGGCACTGTTGTAGCCGGCGTCGCAAGATATTTACATGCCAGAGGTGTTAAAGATTCATATGTCCCTTCATGCTTCAACCACTATTCCAGGGGACATGCGTCCATGCTGATGATGGGTTCTGCTCAACAACAATCCAAAGCAGTGTGGCCTGATGCATGTTCATTTTCATTATCTGAGTCAGATGCCACCAGCAGAAGGCTGATTTTCTTTTTTGTTGGTTCGGGTTCTGTGAGTGTTGCTCTTTTAAGATTTCTGAAAGCATGCTCCACACCTCGTCCCTCTCAGATTTTGGAAGGCACTTCAGATTCTAAACCTTGGGTCGAGTGTTGTAGCTATTTTTAGAAATCTCATATTGGTACCTGCTTTGCGTTTTGTCAAATCTGCAGTGAAAGTGTTCTTAAAATGAACAACATGTACTGGGTCATCATCCGAGACTGCTATAACATGAAATATATGGCAAAATGTGGGTAAAACAGAGCAGGGGACATACAATTCTCCCCCAAGGAGTTCAGTCACAAATTTAATTAACACATTTTTTTTTTAAATGAGCATCAGCATGGCCTCTGGAATGGTGGCCAAAGAATGAAGGGGCATACGAATGTTTAGCATATCTAGCATGTAAATCAGACATGCCACACCCTCGAAAAAACCCCGCAGAAATTGGGCTTGTTTTTGGCTTAATTGGCTTGTGAGTTGCTCGTTGTAGCTTGTTGCTTTTTTTTTTTTTTTTTTTTTTTTTTTTTTTTT